ACCATCTCACGAAATGAAATGCGAGAGCATGATAAATATTTTACATTAACTCAGTAGTTGATAGAACTTTACAGGCAGACGTTTTGGCTCACGTTTCATTTGATTACGTAATGGTCCAAGGTAGTGTTTTTTTTCCATTTACAATCTCAGCACCGGAAATGTAATTGAAGCAAAACGTGAGTCACTATTGCGTAAGTTGCACCACTCGCACAACGGCATGCTGTATGAATGCCAGCACGATGCCGTTCGTGCCAAAAGAAGATCCCGAAGGTACGCACAGTTCGCTTAAAATATTTCTAATGACCATTCTTATTCATACTTTTTCTATAGACGTGAGCCAAAACGTCTGCTGGTACCCAGGGTAGAAAAAGCGAAGTCTTTATATTTTTATATTTTACTTCATATTTTTGGTAACCTGATAGTTCATTTGGTAAAGTTCTTTAAGTCTTTTGCTACTGAGGGAATATAAAATATAATTAGCATGCTCTCGCATTTCATTTCGTGAGATGGTTGATTAGACATGGACCAGGGAGAGTAAGATTTCAGGGGGAGGTGGAGATTTTGTTCGATTCTCGTATTTTATGTACGTGACATGTTATCGTCTCGCCTTATTTTAGACATTTATGCTTTGTTTTAGATGGTATTAGATTGTTTGCGAGTGGTTGTAGATGTTTTTGAGGTGGTTGTAGGTGGTCTTTTAGGTGGTTTTAGGTGGTTTTAGGTGTTTTTAGGTGGTTTTAGGTCGTTCCATGTTTAAGTACTTACGGAACTCGCAGGAACGAGGCGAATCATACGGTGATATGCAGAGACTGGACATAAAGGAGAGCCGGGCAGACGTACCAAAGGAATATGTAACTTACGCTCCCCGAACTGAAGAGTTTTGGTGCATTAAAAAGTAACAATTAGCCCATGTTGGTTCGTTGCGATATCTCTGCGAGTAAGATGACGCGAAGGATCGAAGCACTGACGGAACCGAGACACTATGTTGGCTAGCCGCGCCATTAACAAGAATGTAAATAAAAAGGCACAAAACAGCGAGCACGAAAGAGGATCATTCTCGAAATCTAAAACCTTAGAAATATGATAAAAAACATCAGGAGTGACCGGAAGAGCTCTTCGTGGGGTGTGCAGCGCGTTGCGCGCAATGCCACGCAACGTCAGCGAGAGAAGAAAATCCTTATTAAATAGAAATTCAAACCCTGAAAATAAATGCAGCAGTTTAACCCCAGACAAACAGTTACGAATTGCGGGAGGACTAAGCATACGACTAAGAAATTGCACATAAAAGCAAACAGTATCCAACGTAGCTGGCGTGGGTGTGAATCGAAAATACGTACAAAATAACAAAAAGGCTTTAAATTGGGTTCTTAAAATATCAAATGTTCTAGCGCTGTAGGCAGAACGAAGCGTGTACTTCAAATCCTTTCGAATGCAGATAATACAAAGAAATGTACAATAAAAACAAACAAACCGATCCATTGAAAGGACTGTCTAACTGGAAGAAGGTGATGTGCACAGAAACTGCAACCAGTTGATAACGTTAACGCGTTGTAGGAATTGTTCCCTTGAACGCGAAGTCACATTCAAGCGTGAAAGCTTGTCAGCTTCACTGTTCAAGACTCCAAGAAGGTGAACCGCGCGATTCTCAAACTCGCCTGCTGCCGCTAAGAAACAGACTTCGGGCAGACAAGAATTAACAAAAGCATCCCTACATCGGCCCGAGCTCAGCGCAGTGATTGCGACTTCGTTGGCGGTGGGGAAGCACCAATAAAGTCATCGAGATAATTAAATATTTTAAGTCCGCGCCGGTTGAGAATCCAAGTAACTGCAGAAGGGGAGCGTTGACACGCGGCAGAACGGAGACCCATAGTTAAAACTGTGTCAAAGTAAAATTGACCGTTCCATGTATAACCAAGTAAATGATAATCATATGGATAGATGGGGAATTGGCAGTGCGCTTTCCGTAGATCGCGCTTGTATAGTATGCAACCCCAACCGAGTAAAGCAATCGCCGAGGCAATGGCATCAATAGTGGGATAAATCGATTCCAGAAGCTCTCTGAGAAAGTAACCAGAAGGAATACCATCATAAACTAATGAGCCACAAGGCCAGCTCAAATCGACGATCACTCTTCGTTCGTTAGAGTCACGCTTGACCACCGTGTTGAGAGGAGAAACAAGAAAGCCGTCATGAAAAGGCGGTGCAGCGAAAGGTTCTGCCACTCGACCGAGGGAAATCTCGTTACTGATATAATCTTAAACGGCGGAAGGAAAAGTCAACGCGTCGCGATGGGTAGAAGGTCAAACACAGGACGAGCTATTACGTACTTCTACCAATCTCTTATCGTTGCCAAAGAAACGGGTAGGAGGGCTAGAGAGGGAGACGTGTACGAAAAGCTTGGCCGTGCTTATCATTTCCTTGGTGACCATAAACAGGCCATAACATACTTTAGCAAATATCTGATCATTGCCAAAGATATGGATAAAAAGGGCTGCAGAAGGAGACGTGTACGAAAAGCTTGGCAGTGCTTATTATTGCCTCGGTGATTATAAACAAGCCATAACGCACTTAGGCCAGTCTCTAATCATTGCCAAAGAAATGGGTGAAAGGGTTACAGAAGGAGACATGTACCACCAGCTTGGCTTCGCTTATAGTTGTCTCGAGGATAATATAGAGGCTATAGCACGCTTATATCAATCCTTAATCATTGCCAAAGAAACAGCCAAAAGGGCTAAAGAAGCACGAGGGT